GATAGATAGATAGATGATAGATAGATAGATAGATAGATAGATAGATAGATAGATAGATAGATAGATATGATGAGGATCAATGCATGCAGTCCGTCCTTCACATCTGCAGACTCCCAACTGCAGAACAAACACAATACAGGTATTTATTGAAAAAATTCACATATAAGTGGACCCAAGCAGTTGAAACCCGTGTTTTTCAAGGGTCAATTTATACCAGATTTCACCTCTCTGTGAATCTAAAATAAGGTTCCATTCCACTTACTCCCCACAAAGGAATTTTATTCCTCTCTACCGTGCCCAACCCAGAAGCATTTCTCAGTTGCATCTAAGTCTCCGTGGGTACCATCTCACAAAGACCCTGGAATCAGTTGGTTTTTTATTTCTTGGCAGCCACCACAAGAACTTCTGCTACTGTTTGCCCTTATAAGAGCCTCTCTAGGCTGTGGGTAATCGTCTTCATTGAATGACCACATTGTCAGCCCTTTAGCAACTCCATTCATGGGCGTGTCCAGCATTTCCCTTAATTTCCCACAGCACAGCTGACATCAGGCTACAACTTGTTATAAAACTCAGTGGGAGGTTTGGGTATGATAGAAGTAAAGTACAACATAAATTACCTCGCAGATGGCAGCTACATATTGCTTTCAGAGTTGCTAGGCTAAGACTTGTCCTGGAGATCCTAGTCTGGCTTCAGGACCAAGAGGGCAGCCTACCTCCACCACTACAAGGCCTCAGAGTAGGCCTTACAATCCTGAGAAAGGCAGAAGCTGTGCCCTCCAATCTAAGGCACTTACTCTGCCTTTGCATAGAGTCCCTTGGGGCATTTTCCCAAAATCAAGGAATTTTCTACCCCAGATGTAAAAGTCATTTCCACATATGAGACAAAAAATGGATTACAACTTTTAGCTTTTCTGTCTTCTCCCCCTCAAGATTCTCAGAGCTACATTCAGCCCTGGGCAACTTATTAATATGTTTTATAAACATGAGCTCCTCAATCATAGTATCTACTCAACAAATTGTTATAACCTTTGCTATGTACTGTGAAAATGAATTAATTCTTCAGACTCGACAGTGATTGTGCCATTATAGTATCACTAAGTAGACGCAATAAACTTTATGTGTGTCTCTTATAGCACAAGTGTTATATTGTGGCCACAGTTGACCGGGACCTTAAACGAAGAATCAGGAAGATCCCTGGAGTTCCCATCATGTACATTTCTAACCATAGGTGAGAACTTCCTCTTGGGGAAGTGATTAAAAGTATATAGTTGATATCAATTAAAAATGAGGTCAGATTATAGAAGAATTTAAAAGAGATTGTTGTATCAAATACTTACATAGTTGTATTTGAAAATGTGAGACAAAATAACAAGAACAAGGGCAAAAGATAAGGTAGGATTTAGGAAAGAGGCAGACATTCACATTGTTACAATATGATTAACAGAAGAAATAGAGTGACATGTTGCTTTAAATGCAAAGCAGTAATTTAAATCAAACTAATCTTTTTGGCCAGAAATTGTTATTTTAAAAGCCAAGTGCATGTGATTAGCACCCCTCTGGGAAACTGCCTATTTAAAAAAAAAAAAAAAATTTAAAGCTGTTCTTTATCCTTCTTGGATGTTCCCATGCCAGTCCTCAGACTATTACTGCCCAGCCTCTCAGCCTGGGGAGAGCACAATATAGAGGGAATAATATGGGCGAGGGAGTTGCGCTTACCTGGACTCAGTGCCCAGCTCCCCCCGTTGGTAACTTTCTGACTTTGAAGAATAAAGAAAATACATTATAGTCAGCATTTTGCTTCAGATCACTCACTGTGATATCCCTTTAAAATGTTCTGACTGACAAAAAGGATTCACAGTGAGGGGGTAAGAGTATCGCCGTCAGTGAAGAATGGGTTTTTAGGTGGCTCCCGGACCCACCTTTCTTACCAGTGTTAATTTTTTTTCCTGATTAGGTACAACATTGAGCGGATGCCAGATGACTATGGAGCCCCTCGATTCTAATACTTAAAAAACAAAGTTTCTCTGCTTTCCTTCAACCAAATTTCTCTGTTGCAGGTTTATTAAACATGCTACAACATGCGTTATTGCTCCACTCACACATTTGCTGTTATGAGCTGAGAACAGTTAAATACACTCACTTTTTGGTGGTGTTTTGAAAATGATTTTGATGTTTTGAAAATGATATTTTGTTTCATTTGAAATTTTGTTACATCTTTTTATAAATCAGATGACTGCTCACAACTTCCATGGTTGTTGTTTTATATTATTTACTCAACAATACTTATTAAGGTTATACTCGGTACTTAATAAGATATGGTCCTACCCTCAAGACACTCTTATTATGTTGGGAAAGGGAAACATGTAGATGAATAACTACAGTAAAATAATATGCTAGGATAAAAGTATGACAACTAGAAACAAAAGAGGAGAGAATGATTTCTTTCTACTTGGTTGGGAAAGGGAGGGAGGAAAGGCTAGAGGTAGTAATGTTTGAGTTAATCTTTAAAAATAAATAGGTGCTTGCCTAGTAAATGAGATAAAGAAAATGAGGTGCAGGAAACATAAAAGCATGGAGACAGATATTACATGGAATGAATGTGTTTCACCTGTTCAGACAGCTGCCAGGAGATTTTTATAACTAGAACGTAGGGGGAAGTTATCTGTACCCACATCTGGGACTCTAGAGGTACGAGGTGGGAGGGAGGGGGGCCTTATGTGACTTGCTAAAGAGTTTGGACTTGATCTTGAGGTCAGTAGGAAGTTATTAAAAATTTAAATTGGATAAATAACATGATCAGAATAAATACTTTATTTTTTTTAATATATTTTTATTGATTTTAGAGAGAGAAGGGAGAGAGAAACATCCATGTGAGAGAGAAAGCGATCGGTTTCCTCCAATACTCACCCCGACCAGGAATCGAATCCGCAACCTGGGCACGTGCCCTGACTGGAATCCAATCAGTGACCTTTCGGTTCATGGGACGATGCTCAACCAACTGAGCCACACCGGCCAGGGCAGAATAGATATTTTAAATGATCACAAGGTAGTGTAGGAACAGACAAATAGATCACTGAAACAATAAGTCCATGAACCCCTATATATTTATGACAATTTGGTATATTGTAAAGTTTGTATTTCAAGTCTAGAAAAAGGAAATTGTATTAGAAGGCCAAATAGTGTGGAGTCATTCTACTAGGGTTAGAATCCTGATTTTACCAGTTAATATCTATATTAGTTGGGCAATCTACATAAACATTTGGTGCCTTTCTTGCAACCTCTTAAAATGTTTTGAGTCCTGGCCACTGTGGCTCAGTTGGTAGAGTGTCATCTCATACACTGAGAGGTCGGAGGGTCAATTCTGGGTCACAGCACCTGCCCAGGTTGCCAGCTTGACCCCCAATAGGGGACATGCGGGAGGCAACCGATGGATGTTTCTCATCCATGTTTTCCTCTCCCTTTCTCTCGCTCTAAAATCAATAAGAACATTTTTTTAATGTTTTTTTGGGGAAAAAGTTTTGTTTAATCCACAAAACAACCCAAATAAGATGGGATTAGATTGAACAGTACCTGCCACAAGTAAGAGTTATTCAATAAATGTTAGTAATTATTGTTACAATGGCAAGTTGGCTATCCATTTGAAAAACACTTTAGATTCCTACTTTATATCCCTTTATGAGAATACATTTCAAGTGGATCAAAGATCTAAACTTTATACGTGTGAATCTTGATGCGTGTGAATATATTAAAATTATACATTTCTATGCAAAGCAATTCCCCCAAATATTAAGACAAGTGACTGGCCAGAAGATTTTCATATATATATATATAACAAGTGAGGAAACAGGTAGTCACGGAGTGCTTATAAGAGTGCAAATAGGTATAATCATTTTAGACAACAGTGTGGCAGGATTGATTAAAATAAAAATTGCAGATATCCTGTGAGCCTAATTCTGGTGGGTTTTTTTGGTTATTTATAAGTATCACATAGGTGATCTATAAAATACATGATCAGTGTGTTATAAATGTGTAGAGAAATATCCACAAATGTACAAGGAATTATATAGAAGGATGTTTAGTGTACCACTTTATATCAGAGAAAAACTGAAAAGAATGTAAATGTTCATAAAAGGATCCTAACTATGTTATGTCTATACTATGAAATATCATGAGCATTTAAAAGAATGGGGTAGATTTAAAAATGGTCTAAGGACTTATGTAGACAGTTCTTGGAAGAAAATATGCAAATGGCCAACAAGCACATAAAAAGATGCTCAACATCACTAGTCATTAGGGAAATGCAAATCAAAACTACAATGAAATGCCACCTCACACCTATTTAGGATGGCTACTATTAAGAAATATGCCCTGGCTGGTTTAGCTCAGTGGGTAGAGCATCAGCCTGCGGACTGAAGGGTCCCGGGTTTGATTCCAGTCAAGGGCACATACCTGGGGTTGTGGGCTTGATCCCCAGTAGGAGGCGTGCAGGAGGCAGCCAATCAATGATTCTCATCATTGATGTTTCTGTCTCTCTTTCCCTCTCCCTTTGTCTCTGAAATCAAAATATATATCACAATACCAGATATCAAGCTATATTGCAAAGCCACAGTTCTCAAAACTGCCTGGTACTGACACAAGAATAGACATAGACCAATGAAACAGAACAGAAAACCCAGAAATAGACCCAAGCCATCATGCTCAATTAATATTTGACAAAGGAGGCAAGAGCACACAATGGAGTCAAGACAGTCTCTTCAATAAATGGTGCTGGGAAATTTAGTCAGATACATGCAAAAAAATGAAACTAGATCACCAACTTACACCATACAGAAAAACAAACTCAAAATGGTTAAAGGACTTAAATGTAAGATGGGAAACCATAAAAATCTTAGAAGACTCCAGAGGCAGCAAAATATCAGACATACGTTGTAGCAATATCTTTACCGATACAGCTCCTAGAGCAATGGAAACTAAGGAGAAAATAAACAAATGGGATGACATCAAAATAAAAAGCTTCTGCACAGCAAAAGAAACCATCAACAAAACAACAAGAAAGCCCACTGCATGGGAGAACCTATTTGCCAATGCTATCTATCTACACTAATAAAAGAAACATGCAAATTGGTGTCACTTCGCTACACCCCACCAGCCATCAGATGAGTATACAAATTAACCCAACAAAGATGGCGGTTAATTTGCATACACAGGCACAGAGCGAAGACTGAAGGCTCTGGCCTGAGTGAAGACTGATGAGGCTTGGCTTCTCGCTGCGGCCGCAATGGAGAAGCCAAGTGGCCATGGAGCTGGAGGCTTGGGTTGCCCCTGGTGATGGAGGAAGCCAAGCTTCCAGCCTGCCCTGGCCTCCGCTCAAGGGAGAGAACAACAGCAGGCGCAGCCGGGAGCCTGAGAGATCAACACAGAGGGGCACCTGCTCCGAGCCTCTGACACAGCTGGGGGCAGGCCCCAGCGGACACACACACTCTCACACACACACACACACACACACACACACACACGGCGCCTGTGCTCTGAGCCTCTGTGGCACGGCTGGGGGCAGCCACCAGTGGACACACACACACACGGGGTGCCTGCTCCGAGCCTCTGCTGCCAGACTGTGGCTTAGGCCCGCTCCCCGTAGGGAGGTTAATCAGGGGAAAAAGGAGACATGTAATACTTTAAACAATAAATAAATAAAAGAATAAATAATGTGTTGACGAGGATGTAGAGGAATTGGAACTGTGTTGTTTTTTTTTAAGGCAAGTTACTTTATTTAAAATGTGAATTTTGCCTTACTAAATAATTTGGAACATTTTTATGACTGTAGTTGAGAATAATTACTTTCTTTTAGATTTTTTATCTAAAATAATTTTTTAAATTATTTTTATTTTCTATTATATAACTTAGAAAGTGAACACCCCAATAAATCTTGCACCCACCCAGCACCATGCCTTGTTATTAGAATATGTGAAGAATCCTTGACACAATGCACAATGGCATTATTTCTGAGGCCATTTATGGACTGTTGTTCCATATTTTGATTGTTGTGATGGTTACTCAAATATATTGATTTGTCCAAATGCATTGAAATGTACACAAAATGGGTGCATTTTTTAAAATATGTTTTTATTGATTTTAGACAGAGGAAGAGAGAGAAACATTGATCTGAGAGAGAAACATCAATCAGTTTCTTCCCATATGCATGCCAACTGGGGATGGAATTCACAACCTGGGTATGTGCCCTGACCTGGAATTGAACCAGCAACCTTCCGTGTACAGGACGATGCTCAACCAACTGTGCTACAATGGCAGAGGCAAAATGGGTGCATTTTATTGCATGTAAATTATACCTCAGTAAATTGAAAGATAGAAAAGACATGCAAGAGCCCTGACCTATGTGGCTCAGTTGGTTGAGTGTCTTCCCATGCACCAAGAGGTTGCCGGTTCAATCCCTGGTGGTCAGGGCACGATGGGCGGTTGCACACTCAATCCCCAGTCAGGGCACATGCAGGAAGCAACCGGTTGATGTTTCTCTCTCTCTCTAAAATCAATAATCCTCAGGTGAGGATTAAAAAAAAGGGGGGGGGGGTAAAATACTTACGAGCTGTACACTGAAAATTGCTAAAAGACAATACAAAGAAATGAAAAGACATCCTGATAGAACAATAAATGTTGCAGAGATTTAAAAAAAAAAAAGACATGCTGTGTTTGTAGATTGAAAAATTCAATATTGTTAAAATGTCCATGCTACCCAAAACTATCTACAGATTCTTTGTAATTTCTATCAAAATCCCAATGACATTTGTTGGAAGACATAAAAAAAAAATTGCTAGAATGTATGTGGAATCTCGAAATACCAAATAGCCAAAACAATCTTGAAAAAGAACAAAGTTGAAGGCCTCACACTTCCTGATTTCCAGACACTACTATAAAGCTATAGTAATCAAGACAGAGATATAGACCAATGGATCAAAATAGAGAGCCCAGAAATAAACTCTTGCATATACTGTCAAGTGATTGTCAACAAGGGTGCCAAAACTACACAATAGGCAAAGGACAGTCTCTTCAGCAAATGGTATTGGGAAAATTGGATGTCCACATAAAAAGAATGAAGTTTGAGTCACCTTATACCATATACAAAATTTAACTCAAAATAGATTTAAGACCTAAAACCATAAAATTAGAAGAAAACATAGGAGGGAATCTTCCGGACATTGGGTTTGACAATGATTTCTTGACTATGACACCAAAAACACAGTCAACAAACGCAAAAATAGTCAAATGTGACTGCATCAAATTTAAAAGCGCCAAAAGGAAACAACAGCAACCAATGGAATGGGAGAAAATATTTGAAAGTCATGTGTCTGATAAACTCAGGAACCCTGCTTCCCACTTGGTACTATGGGAAGGGCTGTATGCGAAGGCCTCACAGAGATTGGAATGTAGTTCAGGAACTGGATGGGTAATATTCTTTTTCATCTGGGTGCTGGTTACACAGTTGTGAATATTCACTAAGCTGTATACTTACGATGTGTAAATTTTTTTTTTTTTTGGTTAATCCTCATCCGAGGATATTTTTCCATTGATTTTTCATAGAGAGTGGAAGGGAGGGGGAGAGACAGAGAGTGAAACATCGATGTGAGACACCCTGACCAGAATCCAATCTGCCACCCCTCAGTCCGAGGGCTCACGCTCTCTCCACTGAACTAAACCAGCCAGGACACCATGTGTAATTTTATGTATATATGTTACACTTCAGCAAAAAGTTAAAAGAAACAAATTCCATTCTGAGAATAAGCAGCTCTTTCTTCTGAGGGATATTTAGATTTCCCACTTTGCACTCATATCCACCTCCTAAGAGAGATGAAGGTCTGTGTTGCTCATTAGGAAGCAAGGTCAAATCTTTAAATGGCGCACAACTGATACACTGACACATCTAATATTTTCAGAGTTAGGTAGTATTTTCAGGATTCAGTGTGTATCAGCTTTGTTTTTCAGTGATTTATTCAAGCTACAGGACTTCACGTTTAGTATTATGCTGAGAGATTTGGTTATATTGTAGGTTGGCCTCTCTAGACAATCTTTGTATCTGTTCTTTCCTATCTTTGCTTTTAGCCGAGATTCTCTAACATGAGTTCTTACGTTGAATTATTGTAAAGAATTCAATTTCTCCCCTTTTATAACTGCAGATATTATCTTTCAGATGCCTGCAGGAATTGGTGTAGTCTGATATTCTGTCTTCAAAATACGTTTCCACTCTTCACAGATTTGTTCCCAGTTGGGTTCTTTGTTATAAAGAAATTAAGTCTATTCATTTAATTTGAGACGAATTTGACATCTTTACCATTTTTCCTCTTTTTATTAAGATCACAGTAAGCCTCTTCATTATTTCAAGTCTAATTTTATCCCACTCCGATATGATTTTTGTATGGCTCTGTAGTTTTCTTCGTATAAATTCTACATACTTCTTATCGGAGTTGTTTCTATTTGTTTCATTTTTTTGTTGTTGCTGCGATTGTCGATGGAACCTTTTTAATTTTTAATATATTTTTTTCCCCATTCAAAAATGAACCCGGTGGAGCAATAGGACCTCTACCATCCCTTTCCGCGGGGAGACTCTATGGTTCCTCGGTGCTATGACCGCATTCGACTCGCACCTACAGTATCCGAACCTGAAGGAAGGTGGCAACCGAGAGTGGCCAAGCAAAGGGCCGCTCTATCTCGCCTTTGTTCTCCTCTCTGTGACTACTGCGCAGGCGTAGTCGCCCCAGTGTCGACCCCGCCTTCCTGGTCGTGGGCCCAGCTCGGGAGCGCCGGCGCACTGGCGCGC